ATATCCTAATATAAAGATTTCTTGTTATTTGTTTAGGTGTGCTGATAGCCGAGTGATTGTTTTTAAAATACGTAGTGAAATACTTACAAACACACTCTCCTAATCCTCGCGCTCCGGCTTTGCCCAAGAAAGGCATTTATTTTCACGTGAAGGCCAAACCCTGCAAGACGCCGTGAAGAGTGCTGAAGCAAAAGCTTAAAAGTGAAGCTCTTTCCAGCCACTGGCTTGCAGCGCACAACAGAAAGGGCTTTGTTTACAACCAAACATGCTTAAATAACAACTCTTCGGTTATCGCCGCCCCCCTCCCGAGGGACACAACACAGCACAGAGTGCAAACTCGCCGATTCTGGGCACAGATGTACAAACGTGGCTCGCTGCCCGCTCGGCAAATTCCACAGGCTCAGGACCATGGACCAAAACCGTGGCCGCGATGCGGGCGGGCGCGCACTCCAACAGAGGCGGATTCTCTCCAGGCTGCGAGGAAAGCAGCAAACAAGTAGGAACCCCAAAGTTACAGGCGACTCCGAACCCCATGGAGGGAGAAGAACCGAACACCTCCGACAAAACACCCTTAACATCTTCACCTACTTAGAGTCTTGTTGACCAACTGGTTTGTTTTTGACTGCCACTCAGGAGGCAGAAGGCAAGTCAGTTACGTAACCATGGTTTACTTCTCCGTTCCATTTTATTCTCTGAAAATGGCCCCAAACCAAGGTTGTTAATTTGGAGATGACGTGCAAAGTCCACCCCACATCCACTCGCATGCCCAAGATGTGGTCCCTCCTCTCACTCTTCACCCTGAGATGATGCACACTGGGGCTCGGAGATTCATTCTTTGGACCTCAAAGCATTCCAACAGCAGGGATCTAGAAATGACTGAATTTGGCTGGAAACTGTTGAACAAATGGAATTAGAGAGAAGCAGCTTGTCAGGTTCCCATGAGGAAGAATATTCTAGCAATCAGAATGGATGGCAAGGGGGGGGGGTGGTGACAGCCCGTCAGTGGAAGCGTATGAGCCCAGACTGGTGCCGAAATAAATTTCTAGGCCCAAGATGGAGCTGCTCCTGCCCAAGTGCCACATCAGCAAACCAAAATTGAGATAAGCTTCCTGTCCCTAAAAATCTCCTCTTTTGACCAGAAACACAGTCAGCCAATTCCCAAATGCCAAGTCAACCCTGGGCATTCTCAGCCCAAACAAAGCTAACTGTGTAGCCCTTGCCAACCAGATAATTTCTAGTTTTCTCTTCCTTGTTCTTTATTCTTTATCCTGAAAAAGTTTCCTGCCTTCTGCCCCCTTTTGTAGTTCTCCACAAGGAGACTGTCCACTTCATGAAGAACTAAATAAAGTTTGCAGCACCTAAATTACCTTCTTTAATCATTTTTTGATACTGGGGGGGCTGACTGTCGGAATCTTGCAATGAACAAGAATTTGCATGCCATGAACACTTGGGTCCCTTCAAGTTCTTAAATTCTGGGATGAACTGATGCTCACAGTGAGGACCTCAGAAACTGTGTGATACTAAGTCCCACTCAGCCTCAGAAAAGGATTCCACAGTTCTGCATCCTGATGGTGGTGGTGGCTCCATAAATTCACAGATGAGAGACAGTGCAGAGAACTACACACACACACACATGTGCATGTGAAAACCGAGGAAACGTGGAGTATGTTAGCTAATTAGAAGTACTGGACCAACGTCAATTTCCTGGTTTGATATTGTATACAGCAGTGATTCTCAACCCATCGGAGACCTGTGGCAACATCCATAGAGACGTTTTCAGTTGTTTCATCTAGGGGGAGGATGCTACTAGCATCTGGTGGGTCAAGGCCAGGGATGCTGCCGAACACCCTGCAGCGCACAGGACAGCCTCCCCGCCCCCCACACACAACTAGCCCCAAAACGTCAATGCCGCCAAGGCTGAGAAATCCTGTGCTATAGTTCTGAAGAACATTACCATCACTGGGGGAAACTGGGGGAAGGGGACACAGGACCTCATTGTACTATTTTTGCAGTTTCCTGTGGGCCTATAATTATTTCAAAATAAAAGCTCAAACAATTTTTTTTTTAAGATTCCATTCTATGCAGTGTATCAGGGCACTACTTCTCCGGGAATCTGTCAGCCACTCATAGAAAAATGCAGTGTTCTCAATTAACTAAGGACTCAGCTGTCCACGCCACTTCCAGGAAAATGTCAGCCCATGACATCCACTTTGCATTTCTATGGTGGCGTGAAGAAACAGCCAAGGGTCAAAGCCAAACTCACACCAAGATCAAATCCCCAGTGCCCTTGACTCCTTAAGTCAGACTTCCTATGGGATTCAGTAGGACTCCCTCCTCAGCGCACAGAACATCTGTCTTCCATCTTCCCCTGAGCCCAGCCTTTATGCAAGACACAGCCTATCCAGAAAATATTTTATCGATGAGATGTTATATATGCTTTTACATTCTTATTTTTCTCTAAATCCACCCCCTCACTCCCACCTCAGTGCCAAGACAGTGCCTGGAGTGTAGCAGGCACCACCCACCCAGCCCAGAAGTTCACAATAAACACGCCCAGCAGTCCTTCCTCTATAAATGCTTTGCTGCGACATTATGACAACCTTCTTATGGAATGGTCCAGCGCTGCGATGAATGCTTCTATTTCTATTACATCATGCGAAGTACATATATCAAGTCACCACTTAGGAGGGGAAAATGCATTTTCTTTTAGTACAATTTAACTGCACAAAGCAATCACCAACTCCCCTAATCAAGATCATTCTTAAGCCAAGCTCCCTCACTTCAGGTCCAGGGTGGACTTCAGGTCCTCTGGTCAAATGCAAAAAAAGCAAGGTGGGGGGAACCAGAGTTAAAAGAATATAATAAAAGTGCCCCCTGCCTTGTCGGAGTTGGGGGTTCAGAAAAGCCCCACACAAGTATTAGAAGCACACACTGAAATGGCAGCAGGCCTGAAGGCAGCGCTCCCGGAGCAGATCCAGGGACCTGTTTTCAGTCTGGGTGCTCAGCCACGCAGCCCTCAACACACCTGCAATTACCTCCTCCAAGCCCGCCAACTTTGGGGTGTTCCGGGAGGGCGGGGCCGGGGCTGTCGTGCTCTCCCCTCCCCCAGGACCTCACCCAGCACCTGGTGTCGAACAGGTTCTTGGTAACCACCTGTGGACTAATGAACAGCCCCAGAAGGACGAGCACAACCATGAGCTGACACTACTGCGAGCTTTTGCTGAAAACCTCGCAGAACAGTTGACAAAGTGAGGTAGCAGGCGCGGGTCACCCTGCTCGGATGAAGAAGCTGAGGTCCAGGAGGCTGAGCGCTGAGCCCCAAACCCGGGTGCTAAGTGCAGCCCTCAGTCTAGGAGTCCTCAGTCTTCTCTCACGTTCCCCCTGCCAAGCCCCCACCCCCAGTAAACACCAGAACCTAACAAGCGTATCTCCCACCCACCCTGCCCCACCATGCCCAGTGCCAGGCTAACCACACAGCAGATGCTGAAAACCAAAAACCCACAAGCCTGATTCAAACCACCAAACGAAAAAGGCCTTGGGTTAAAAGCGCAGGAGACAGGCTTTCAAATCTCCCAAGCCTGTGAGGGACTCCGAGCAGCTTGCTTACATGGTCTGAGCATGCTTCCTCACCTGTAAATTAACAAGAATATCCACCCCTCGGAGCCCCTGAAAGAATTAAATGAGACACTCGTACATAAAGCTCCTAAGAGAGTCACAGTGGATGTTCTGCAAATGGATCTTTTCCCACTTCTACTCCGGTTATTAAATCAGTATGGTTTTTACAAATCTTAACATCCAGGATTCCCCAGAAAATACGGGAAATTCTGAATGGTTCTGTTCATGGTTACACAACTCACAGAACTGCCTGGGGATTTACAGAGTTGCCCGCAAAGTGAAATATGCCACAACACGCCCCCCACCACCACTCAGGGAAGCACAACGGGGTTGCTGAGCTGGACCCACGCACTCGAGCTTTCTGTGTCCCCATCTTCACTCCTTTCCCGCCGCCTCACTGCTGTTTTTCATGAACAGTTTAACCAAACAAAGGTGATGCCTTTCAAGCCGAGAGCCGTGTCACGGTGCCACTGGCATGTATCTCCTTTCAGGGAAGGGCCATTACAAGGCGGGAGAATTTGGCCCTAATCCTGCTCACTCCTCAATCTTGAAATCCTAGGACCCAGCCCTTTGCAATTCAAGCAAAGAACACTTGGACCAATTAAGAGAAAGTTCCCTCTTCACAAGGAGTGTAAGAAACCGAATGGAAGTCATGTCCCCAAGACAGGGTAGGCAGAAAGTGGGGACAGATTTGAGGAGGGTGAGTGATAAGGCTAGAAGGCGGGCACACCAGGTGCCACTGGGCTTCCCTGGCATCCTGCCGCTCGACCCCTCCGCAGGCACGGGAGTCCGGCTGCAGCCCAAGACTCCGCAGCAGAAGCTCTGCCATCCTGCCCCAAGTGGACAGAGGATTCCAGGGACCTACAGAAAGCGGGAGGGAGGGAGCTGAGAGGGGACACCGGCTGGGTGAAGGCCCACTGCTGAGTTCTCCCCAGACCACTGCGCCAAAACAGACCAGCCGGTCACATCGCCAAATCGGAAATTCAGTCTCAAGAAAACGCCCTGTGAGAAGACTGAAAAAGTAGACCGAGTCGGAAGAAGTGTCCAGCAGAAAGATTTTGTGCCCAGTAAATTTCAAACTTGGGGCAGAGGGACTAGTTCTCCAGGCAGCTTCCCAAGGGCAGGGTCCCTCTCTACCTGAGGGGGGAATGCTGAGCAGGTTTAAGTTCTGGGGCGCTCGGAGGGGCCCGGGCCATGCGCAGTGCAGTGCCTAGGGAGGCGGGGGGGGAGGAGGGCAGTGATGGGAGGTTCACGGGCCTTTCTCATCCCAGGCACACGGACGCACAGGGAAGCCAGATGTCGTCTGGGACCCAGCGGGCCACCACTGGGAGAGGCGCACGGCCACGGGCGCCCCCTCGGGCCGCTCAGCGCAGAAAGTTACTCACCTGGGAGAGGCGTCTCCGGAGCCAACTTCTTCTTGGGAGCTTTTTTTGGGCTTGGCCGCCTTCTTGGGCGGCCTGGGCTCGGGCGGGCGCGGTTCCCGCTCCTCCTTCCCGGGCCCCGGGGGCAGCGGCGGCGAGAAGGGCTCGGGCTTGGGCTCGGGCTCCGGGCGTGCGTAATAAGGCTCCCGGTTCCAGATCTCCTGCACGTAGTAGTCGGGGTCCTCGACGGCTGCGCGCTGGGCCC